CTCTCTTCCCCCTTTTCTCCCCCTCTCTCCCTCTCTTCCTTTGAGGCTTAGTTATAGCTCAGAGTCGGAAGAGACAAGCTTCCTAAGCCTAGAAAGAAGCCAGGATTAGGGACCAGAAAGCTGATTCACCAGTGAAGGGGCAGGACTGAGAGCATCTCCATAAATTCCTCCAACACTACGTTTTCTATCTGGACTCTTCTCATTGGATCACACGTTGTGTCACTTAGCATGGCTCTGCATGAATTTTGTTTTAGTGTTTTAATGTTTTGCAGTTATTCTTTTAATGTTTTCATATTTCATAATCTTCTTTCCTACTACTGTTAACCAAGTAGCGTAAATCATAAAGCTAAAAGGGAATTTAGGAGTCAGTCTCTGGCCCAGCTCTCATTATATATGCAAACCGCTGAGCCCAGAAACACTGGGCGCCTTGCTCAGATTGGCTCACCCAGGTAAGGTCAGGACCAGAACCCTCCTGGAGCTGCAGGCTCTGGGCTAATAGTTAAGCACTGCCTGTGCTACCACTGCAGCTTCTGACTGTTCTATTTGCTTCTTTCTCTGTAAAGTCACACAACAAATTGTATAAACTCATAGCACGAATTGTATAAACGCATGCCACAAATTATATAAACTCATACCATGAAGTGTTTTAACAGTTCTTTGAGATTTAGGTTTTATCTTAAGAGTGAGACTTAAGAACAAAGTTTGCAGCCCTCTTTCTCAGCGCTTCTCATGCTCCAGTGCGTCAAAAAGTTAAGGACCTCGGAAGGAAAAGTGCATCTAAAGTCCAAAAAACACCAGTGAGGCAGAGGACTATTTATCTCATAGTCGTCAAGTATGAATAATATGAAAACGATTTCAGTGTCCCTGGCAGACTAAATATAATTTAACCTCAGCACCAAAAATGAAAATATATTTACTGATTTTGAATTCCTATCTAGCCACAAGTTCTTACATTCTTATCCATTCATTCTTTCATTCTTTTCTCTGCTGCACTTGACCTTGCTTTGCTTTTCCATTTTTTCCTTAAGGGACCATGGAGCGTGAGTCTGTGCTAGTGTTTCCCTGGCTGGGCCAGGATGTTTTCTAGTCCTGACTTACTTGGGCTTCCACGTCCGTTAACTTCCGGGTTTGCTCTGCCGTTTGATTGAGTAGGTTGGTTCCTATTTCTATCATCACCGCAGTCTGGTTCTGCACTGCATTCTGCTGGATCTCCACCATCTCCTTCTTCATGTTGTCCTGGATGTAATTCTCCAGCTAGAAAGGAACAAGGTGTCAGAAAGACAGCCATGAGTCAAATGATCAGAAACCTTATTCCTAAGCATTTCCCCTACCTTTCAGAGAATCCATTGGAAGACCTGGACCTTGCTTTCATTTTGAAATTTTGCTGTTTTCTTTTCTGTCTTTTTTTTTTTAAGTCACTAACAGTGTGATTTTATTGAAGTTAGAATCTGGCAGCTTAGCACCATCATGTGTGGAAGACAAACTCGTAGTCCGCTGGGCGGCGGGAGGGGAGGTAGCAAGGCCACAGCTGGGACACGGGTGGCGGTGCAGCCCAGGACGGACCAGGGGACTTGGCCGTGGGCGTCCACCCCGCGCCCCGCAGCGCTGCCTGTGTGACGGGAGCGTCACCGTTGCTACCACATTCTCAACCTGTGGTTCTGGAAGCGCAGACTTGAGAAGATGAAGAGCGTGAGGAGAGGCACACCTTTGCGTTCGCCCCGTAAGCGGCGGATCCACCCGAGCCCCACATGCCACATGCAGGGACCCCACTTCCCTCGGACTGAGCTCACCACGCGTCAGACCTGTTCACAGTTTTCCTAACATTACGCATTTTTCATGCTTTAATCATTTCATATATCAGACAGGGTTTTTATCCCGCACAGCGTCCTCGTACAAAACAGCATTTCTGATTGGTCAGAGGAGTGTTTTGAGAATTAATTAAGCTATGTTTTTAAAGCCATGGTGCATGCATAATGTTGGGGCTTAAAATTTTATTTCCTTTTGGTCTTTGTTTTTCATAATGATCCAGGGATGGGAGCCACGATTCCATTCATTCGTCCAAACGAAAAGCTCATGAGGACAGAAACCCTATTTTTATTTGTTTTTCACAGATTGGGTCGTCGGAAAAGTCATGACATAATTTTCTATGTTTTTCAATGCAAAAATGCGTCATGACTTTCCCGGCGACCCAATAGTTATAACTCAAAAACAAAATTTATTACATTGAACAATTAAAAGTTGATTGAAAACAGCTTATAGTGCCTTTCTTTAAAGCCGCACAGGAACCATTCCTCAAACATAATTCCTCCTGAAACGTTATGCTGCACAGCTCTGTGCTTCTGCCTGTGAGACTGAGAGAAAGGCACGGAGGGGCGCGTTTCTCCCTCAGAGCCCAAGGGCTCCTGTGCTGGCGCAGCTCACCAGCTGTGTGTTGAGTGGCATGACGAGGTCTGAGGACTCGCACTGCGGCTGTAAGCTCACTGCTTGCTGGCACCGACCCCCACCCCGCTGTGTCCTTCCCGTGTCCCTCCCTGAGCCATCCTGACGGTTCATGGTCACTCCAGGTTCTCCGGTGGTGACTGGGGAGATCAAAGGGCATGAAACCTGACGGTGTCCAGAGGTCTGGTCATGTGTGCGCTCTTGTGCTTGAAGCTTTTACTACTCAATACGAATCAAGATAGATTAGACCAGCATAAAAAATTTTAAAAAAAATTAAAATCAGTACTATTACTTGTCTGTCCCAACAAATATCTCTACTATAAATTTCATAAAAATCTGAAGGACACCCTTATTAACTCTTGCTAACTAGCTAGTGCGGACTGGCACGGGCTTTTTAGTGGCTGCATTCTTTCCTGATTCATCTTTCCTTCCCCTGCCTTTTAAAATCTTAACTTCTGTGATTTAAATATATAATTTAAAAGAACTCATATACAAAAGTTTGTAATTTCTTCCTTACTCTCCCCCCCCACACACACACACACACAAATTCTCTCGTTCTCACTCTCTCACCTCACCTTGGGAATGTTGGGATTGTTCAGGTTAAAGTTAAAGCTACATAAGTCATCCATAGACGTTCTCTTAATTACTCTTAACACCCAGCAAAAGTAATATTTAGAAAGGCTTATTTTGGGGGAGTTTGGAACTATGAAAGATATAAGCAAGCTGGAGTTTGGTTTAAACCTATGCTCTGAAGTAATAATTTACAAACTAGTGTGAATAGAGAAGTCTTAATCTTCTTGTTGATTTCAGTACTTAGGAACTAAATAAATTATACTATCTTTTGCCACACTGAATTCTATAACTAGAGGGGGAAGTAATTTCTTTAATCTTCCCCCACCCGTTTCTAGAGTTACTGGGTCAAATGTGGTTACAACCATCAAGAGACACTAGAGGCTTGTTTATAACTTGACATCTTAAATTCAAGTTCCAATTTAAAATTAGTTTTAGAAACTTTGAAAAACATAAATGACTTAATTTGTAAAAATAAAACGTCTTAGCTTTATTGCCATATCTAAGCTTGAAAATGATAGCATGCAAAATGCTTTTTAAGTCACTCCTTTTCAGCTTTTCAGGATGACAGTGTATATGTGTGGTTCATCTTAGAATGAAGCACACTACAGATACATGTATACATGTGATGGATGTATATGGTTGTCATATATGTGTACATATGTGTATTGTGTTTATATACAATCGATACAACTAAATAAAGTAAAATTCTATGCAACACTGACCCGACTGCTGACTAATCAAAGTCTTTGGGAGAAAAGTGGAACAGAAACAGAAATGTCAAGTGTTAGACATTTTGTGTTGATTCTCAAAAAAATTTGTGTTCTCACAGTTGAAGCAGACAAATTGAGGTTTGAAGAGAAGTGGATGATGTGGCAGGTGAGAACCCTTTAAGAACAAAGGAAAACATACGCAGTCTGAGCAACTGTAGCTACAGTAACGACCACCGGAGCTGTAGTTAAAGTTGGTGACTTCGCCTGTCTCAGCTACTAGACTCGCCCAGGTGCCCAGCGTCAAGGGCAGGCCCCTTCCGAGGGTTGGCATGACACACTGATGGTGCACGCCAGAGGCCACCCCACACTTTTCCTGCCTCACAGCGGCCCAAAGTGATGTGTCCCACAGTTGGAGCAAGTGTGCCTTTCGAGCGCCAAGGTTTGCAGTGCCTTGAAAAGCAGACCACCTACCACGAAGTTAAGGGAGAGGAGGGGTCATTCTCACTAACAGAAAAGCCTGGAACTGGAGATTACCAGTTCCAATCTTATCTCCTGGGAGCTTCGTGACCAAAGAATCTGTTTTCCCTCCCAAGCCGAGTAGTACTTTTTAGAGAGGAGGACTCCGAACGTTCAGTATATAAAACTGAACGTTTCCAAATGAAGTGCTCCCATGTAGTGGGCGGCCTCTGCCTCCCCACTGCACAGCCAGGGGCTTGAGAAACATCTAGAAAAAAACGAAGCCTGTTTGACGCACATGGACAGATGTACCTTGAAATGTTCCTGGCTCTTGGCCTGGACCAATTAATAATAGTTCTTTTCTTTCTAGTTTATTGCCCCGGAATGTCGTTCTGTTTAGTATCTCTTGTTTTTATTGTCTGCGACTGAAATGCAGAAATACAGAAATCTGCGCACTGAAATTCCATGCTAGTCCAAGGAAGTCTTAATACAAGAAAAGCGAGGAGGCCGAGATCTCCTCTCTCACTGGCAGCGTCCTGCCCTGTTCTCCTTCAGCGAATGTTTCCCGGCCTTGCCATTGGCACTTAGCTGCTCTCATCAAAACAGTTCCGTGACACTTGAACCTCCCAACGGAGGGGACATGGCTCTTTCCCCCTTCACAGGGGTGGCTTCGCACACTCAGGCCCTGCAGGAAAGCTGGGTCTTGCGTTTGGGTCTGAAGAGGACTAGGCAGTGACGCTGCTGCTGTGTGGGTCCCAGTACCTCTGCAAAGGTCCCCACCACAAAGCTGAAAGGACTCTGGCCGTCCATTTTGTCCTCTTCTTCATCAGTGGTCTGAGCACCCTTCACAGTGTGGGGCCTTCAGCTGCTTCTCTTCCTTAGAGTTCAAATGAGTTGTTCCAATGTCATTAACGTTTCAAGGCCACTGCTGTCACCGCAGTTGCGTACATTGTTGCTCAGCGTCATTTTTATGTGCTAAAAAAGAGTCGCACCTTAAACACAGTCTTTAAAAGCTGGCAACAAGTCCAAGCTCAAGCAGCCAGAATAAAATATTTTACACCATGTAGACATGTATTTTTTAATGTAAAATACATCCTGACATTTTTCTTACCCCCCAACATTTAGAATGATCAAATTTGACAGGAAAATAAATCCTTTTATGAGGTAACCATGGCAGATTAATAACACATTGAAATGTTTCCCTCACTGTCTTCCTTCCCACCAAGACTATCATCATTAGTTTTCTACCAAAGGGAAAGAATCTTGAAATTGGCTGGGGGAAGGAAAACATAGTGTACAAAAACTGTTTCCACCTTGGAGATTTGGGTGTTGGTCCCTTACCCACTATATAGATCCTGGTCGAGGGATCTTTTCTACTTAAATAAAGTTCCATGTCCTGATGCCTTTTAATTCATTTTTGTCTATCTGGATGCCCAATTTCCCTAGGAAATAAATAAGTTGAGGAACATTTTACTCTCTGGCATTTAGAAGTGAGATGCTGTCACTGCTCTCTCTTGCATGCGCGCACACACCCAAAGAGATGGTTTTATCCCATTTGATCCCGTCGCCCCGCCCAGCACCTACCATCCTGTCTCTTCTGGATTGTCACGCAGCCCCCTAACTGCTACCGCATCCTGTCACCCTGAGAGTCACGCAGAGAGTGCGCAGTGCGGACTTGACCTCCCCCAGCCTTGCACCTTAGCCTGTAAGATGGAACGCAGAGCCCCTGGCTTGGCCGCACAGACCTTCCCGACCTGCTGTCAGTGGCCTCCTAGCCTCACTTCCTGTGCGTCTTACCTCCTGGCCGGACCTGACCACAGCTCCGACCTCGGGCTGCGTCTCCCTTCGCCTTCCCCCTTCACCTTCAGTCCTTTCTCCTCCTGAGGTGATACCCTGCCCCATGGCGCGTCCTCATGAGGAATCATTTTGCTTTCGTTTGTTGGTTTGTTGGTTTCATTTGTTTGTAACATCTCTTTAATACTGTAGGTTTGCGCTCTTTTTTCCTTGGGATACTGAAATTCTGTAGCCATTCCACAGCCATACATTCAAATACCACCAAGCAAAAACATTTGCTCT